ATGTGAAAAACTTTTATGATCAATAGAAAAAGATTTTCTGTTAATATTTTTTTCTTCTCCTTTATTCTTGTGAAAGTAAGACATTCTTTCCATAGTACTTATCAATGGCACTTCTACTTTAACAATCTCTTATTTAAAAAGAATAGTATACTTTGCATTATTTATTATCAGACTTTTTTATTCTCTTGAATTCATCAAGATTATTCTATCTCTTCTTCTTATAACATAGACAAGTTTAATAGAAAGAATTCGAAAGAGAGTATTGATATCTTATGCATATATGCAAATAGACTCATACACTTTACTTGTTATTGTACTAATCCAATCTTACGATTTACAGCCTTGCAAACATTTGAAAATTTGAAAAAGCACAGCACCGATTAGTCTAGTTTTACACACGTATATACTTTCGTATTATATACGTATATAATTTCTTATTGTTATATGTATCAAATACATATATAAAAAAAGGACTCGGAAGATTTTAAAAAATATGATCAATGTCATAAGTTAGCTTCAAATGAAATAGGAAATGTTTCTAGATTTTCCAAATCAAGGAGAACAGCTGTTCGAGTTTTTGAAAAATTTGGAATACAGACTAATCTCACTACGTGTCCTTCATCTGTAATAAATATTAAATACAATTGAAATGGTTTATTCATTTGTTTTTATATAATTTAATGTAATTTAAATATAATCTTACCACATATTACTTTTGTTTCATATTTCTCCATATTACCAACAAAGTATATGTCTAAGCATTCTTTTATAATGAAGGGATCATTTTGAAAATATGGATAAGACGGTAATGAATTAGAGCCTGTAGGTGCGTAATGTCGCCAATATAATGTATTCTCTAACCATTCTAAAGGAGTATTGTTTAGAATATTATCAACTTTCATAATATCTTGAATCGGTTGTCCACTAGATCCAGCTATAATACGAGATCCGATAGAACCAACCCAAGGATTAGTAGCGCAATGAAAACTCTTATATCTGTAAATTATAGAATTTGTCATTTTTGTTGCAATTTTATCTAATAGATTTAATATTATACCTTATTGTTTGGGGTAACAAACAAGGATGTAATGGTTGTTGAGGCAACATATGACATGTAGGATCGAATTCACCAGGCATTAATGTTACACAACAACATTTTACGATAGGTTTAAGAAATTCATCAAGTCTATGAGTGGCCACCTTAGTTTCCTTAGTTAATATTTCATTATACTTTTTTTGCTTAGAATAACTTATATGATTAAATTTTTCGATGAAACCTCTTATGCTATTTCCTAAATGATCATAGATATATTTATCAATTTCAATCATACAAATAAATATTAATTGATATAAATGATAGTAATTAGAAGTACCAGCTATAATAACATGTGCAATACGTGCAGCTTCTTTTTGTATACACGAAGTTCCAGCCATTCCTATAATCCATTCGGATAAGAGAGTCAATCCAAATGGGTCTACATTATTTGCCAAAGATAATCCGGAAACTAATAATGTCATTGTATTTTTTTGTAATGATATAGAAGATGTAGGAGGTGTTGGAAAATATCCTGGAAAACACCAATCCTCTACCTAAAATAGGATTAGTTTATTTAAACAGAAAAAAAGAATTGAAAAAAGTCTTAATATATACTTGCAATACCCAAAATGTTCCGTTCTTTTGTCGACGACCAAGCAATGCGGAAACAATACCAGTTACAATACTTTGTACATTCATATGATTACCAGTTAGTTTGATTCTTAATGCTTCATCTTCCAAAAATAAGATATCCTTAAATGATTCATAATTAGATTGCAATGGTTGTGGACAAACTTGTAATTCTGTTGCAAGCATTTGTAAAGCAGATCTTTTCAGTTCTTCATGCTTATAAAGAGTTCCTGTGATTACACAGAGTTTATTTTCTTCAAATTCAACAAGATCTGAGATATTTATTATTTTGTGTGTAGCTAAAATAAAATAATAAAGATCAATATTTCAATATTTTTTATAAATATTTATTGATGTCTCTCTTGCATTCATATATTTTAATTAATTATTTTCCATTGATGTCTTTATTGGTTAACACAAGAGAATCGGCAAAAAATAAGTTTTATGTTGATATAAAAACTATACAAGAAAATTTTATAATGACGAGGAAAATGTTTTTTTCTGTGTCTTTTTGAAATACGTATTTTTCGTAAAACATAATATTTTATCTTTCCTTTTCATTGATTTTATTAAAATTAACCTACATTATATATATATATTGTCGAATCCATTAAGTAACATTTATCTGCAGTTATGGATTAATTTGAAATACTTTACCCCATTTTATTTTTGCCTTTAGTATTACATTATCTCTTAATGCATTTAATCTTGTGAGATATATGCTTGAGTATTGGCACTGAACATTTTTCGGAGGTAATAGAAACCTTTTAAAATCATTAAGTGGTATATTTTCTCGAATAAAAACACACATAGTATTATCCTCCATGAATAAAAGTAAAACTATGTTTACGCATAGAAAAATATTATACTCTTATTCTATAGAGATTTAAAAAAATGTTTTATCTGAAACGAGATATAAATTATTTTCTTATTTATTTGATATTTGTATGAATATTTTTATTTTCTTCGAAGAAATCATAGTCATAATCGATGAATAATAATTATTTACATTTATCCCTAATTATTATTAACAAAACAAATAAAATATAATTTATAATTTGTATACGATTAATGCTCTGCATAATGAAATATTTATGGACCAATACGGTTTAAGAATTCCATATCTATATTAAAAAGATGAATGTAACTTCTTGATCAAATTAAAAATTTATTCTTACAAAATTATATAATTTATAAGAATTACGAATATAAATTAAAATATAAAAATGTAGTAAATTATAATAATAGATTTTAATTAATTTGTCATTTTTTATATGAGTATAATCAATTATTAATCAAAACGGAAATACTATTTAATAACACAACGATTGATTGGTAACATTTCCGGAAAATATACTTCTTCCGAATGGACTCCATTCGCTTGCTTTGTTACGGTATCTAGTTATTTTGTAGCTTTTCCACCAATAAGAAAAATACGTTTAGTACAGATTACGTAAAGTAATAGTGGGTAAAGAAACCGGCTGTTTAGCCAATGAGAGCCATAGGAAACTTTCTCTCTTTCCGAGGGTCAATCGTCGCAAATGTTAAGTATCTTGTTCTTTCCATCTTATTTTTCTCGTATGCTTGGTTGTAATATCCTTAATTTGTTGTTAATATCTAATTAAAAGCGAAAGAAAAGTATTATTCAAATTATATTAAAAAATAATCGTAAGTCATGGCTACAAGTTTAAGACTACTGCGGCTTAATTTGCCGCTTATGTTTAATTCTACGTTAAGAAATACTGTAGGCGGTAAGTAGTGCTACAATAACCTCAAACTTTATATCGCGTGCAATTTACTAATATAAATTAAATATAATATTATATCATTTTTTAACTAAAACATTTTCTAATAATGAAGTATATAATTATAGTTTCAAAATTAAATTTTGACATTATTTTAGGAACTTTTTCATTCGGAGTAAAGCGTTTTATTTTTACAAATAAAACAATTGGCATGAACAATTATGAATATGTAAGAACACAAGTACATCAACAATTTATAAATGTAGAAGATTCATTTCGTAAAAAAATGAAAGAAATTGTTGAAGATGAAAACAGTGTAGTTTTTACAGAAGATTTAAAAGCTATGTCTCATTTAGTAACTAGTACTCCTGACGATATAGATTTATTTGTTAAAATGATATATAAATTCAATTCTCAAAGCAGTGACCTAAGGTTTGGTAATTACTCATTTGGTCCTGTAGTAATGAGAGCTTTTAACTATGTGGGCAAACCAGATATAGCATTATCTACATTTCTCGATCCAAAGCTAGCTTCATTTTATGATCAAAGCACGACTTATTCAGTTTTAATAACATTATTGTATAACAATAAGATGTATAATGAAGTACGTCAAGTATATGACATATTTAAGTCTAGATGTGTTGATTTACAAAATGTTCCAAGAATTCCAGTTATTGTTACCGCTGCCGCTTGTTATCAAGAGGTTTGTTCATGTTTTTGTATATGGTTTATTTAAAACTAAATTACAAAAATTTAATCATTTAAAATTTTTCTATTTTCAGAATACTCCAGAATCATTCAATTATTTATTGAACGTTTGGAAAGAATTAAGTCAACATAACTTCCCACCACTCCGTAGATTTATAACACTCTTAGGGGGCCTAGCATTAAAACAAAATTCTCCACAAATAACTTTAGAATTAATGTCGTTAATAAGAACACGTTACATCGATAACAGATGTTTGAAAATTCTTGCATTCTGTAAACTTAATAGGTTAAATGATGTTGCCTATATATTGAAAAGTTCACTCGAAGGAACTTACGCTATTAAAGAAACCTATTTTACAGATGTTGTATGCATATATTAATTAAATTATTTGTAATTATATTTACTTCTACATATAGTATAAAAATGTTAATCGAAATAATCTTAAATTTTAGATTGAAGAGGTTGAAAAACATTTGGATGATAAAGACGAAGAACTTAAATCGATAATAATAAAATTAATTTCTCTTATGAAAGCACAAGGACATATAGAAGAGACGGTAATTATACAAAACCAAAACACTAAATATATTAAATGTAAGATAAGTAATATACTTTTCTTTTTACAGACATTGGAATCTCATATACTTTGTCCAATTGAATATTTGTACTCAAAACGTTCTAAAAATCAGATTATGGATCGTGGTAACGAAAACAAAAATGAATTATTTAGATCACCACAACGTAAAAGGATAATTGGCTTAAAGGACCTTATTTAATTATAAATATCTTTTTCCAATTCATTGTAATGTATCTATCTATGTATTTAGGATATAATTATAATTAGATGATCCCATCTTTAAAGTTATAACAAGTTCACCATATTTTATCCATTGTGTTTAATTATCATTATACCAATAGTACATAATATCTTTTTATAATTTACTGGGTATTTCAGAGGAAAGTTTTGTAAGAGCACATGTTATAACTTTTAAAAGATTAAACGTAGATACAAATTAATTCGATTTTTCTTATTTTATATAAACATATATATTATAATTTGCACTCTGATTAGCAGAGGCCTTGGATAACGATGTACTTTGCTAACGAATTTTGATTATATGAACATGTATTTGATTTAAAAATCGGAATTTTCTGATCGCACTTGCAATTAGCCATGCGCGGGAAGACATTTCAAATATTATTTCTTTTCTTGTAGTATATTGGGCTGTTTTATTAAAATTTATGGTTATAAATAGATTTCATGGTGAAAATAAGCGTTTAAGCATTTATTTTTTTGAGTTGGTTTATGTAGACAGTAAATCAATTACAAATATAATAAATAAATAATATTTAACATATTTTCATGACATTTTAAAAGAGTTTTATTTGTATTTATAATATGTACTATAGTTTTGGGGAAGAGCCGGAACAAATTAATTGATTTTGAATTGAAAAAAGGAAATCACGCTTTTGGTAAAGACGGTTTTGATTAACGAGGATATTTTTGGAATGCATACTTTTTTGTTTATTAGTTCGACATTTTAATCAAATAGGTGGCGTTAAATCATTTTAAGATTACGTATCTAATGTATAGTGACAGATAAAATAAAAATGGCTGAAAATGGGTTGGGATCTGAAATTGGATCTCAAGAATATCTTGCAACAGATGCTATTAATTTAGATTTTATCGAGGTAAACAACAGGAGTAATTAATTTATATTTTATAATATATTTTTAATCCATGAGAAGGATTTTTAAGTTGTATAAAAAATAGGTTATATTATATTAAACACGATTGAAGGTTAATTGTATTTACAGTGTTGGATTACTTGTTATATTATTTTAAATTATTCTTATGTATATTTATTTGTCATATCAAAGTAATTTTGTATTTATACTTTATATAAGTAAATTTTTATATATTTTTAATTAGTAACGTTAATTAATATTGAAACCTAGATTTCATTAATATACAAATTAATCCTGCATTCAAATTATATTTCAGTTAGATCATGCAGAATATGCTATACCAACTGTGGAAGAATTACCCTCCTTAGAAAGTATACTGACAGAACCTGATTGTACGTCATTGTCAGGAACAGATGATGATCTTGGAGCTGCATCGATTGAGAAATTAGGTAGTAGTGAGACAACCAGTGTTGGTAGTCATTTATCTTTGAATTCACTCAATAAATCTTCTAAAGCTTCACAACATCCACCATCAGGAGCTATTTTAAGACATATGATATTAAAGGGTATTTCTGCACAAATTGTATCAGCTAGTGTAAGCATTAAACAAAAATCTTCTTTAGTACTTAAAACATATATTAAATACGAGTCTAATGTTAGTAAAAATATTATTCAGGAAAGGGTCAATGCTGGATTAGCAAGTGCAGTTACCGCTGGTGGGAATATGTTAGTAATTGGTACTAGTCATGGTTTAATATTAAGCTTTGATTCATCTCAAACATTACGATGGTGTGATCAAGAAGCCAGACATCAAGGATCTGTCTCTGCATTGTGCTTTAATCATGATGGAAGTAGAATATTGGCTGGTTTTGCTAGAGGTCTTATTTTAATGATCGATAGTAGTGATGGAAAAGTTTTAAGAACGCTTACCGAAGTTCATCCACTTGATACTGCTGTATTACATGTTAAAGTAAATATTTTTTATTTATCAAATTAATTCTGTATAACCCTAGATATAATTATTATAATTAATTTATATCTTTATATTAGTTTACAGATTCTCCAAAAGTTGCACTTTGCAGTGACAGTGGTGGATCTGTATTTGAATTAAATTTTACAAGAGTTATGGGAGTTCGAGGCTGTGATAGTAGATGCTTATTTAGTGGTTCTAGGGGTGAAGTGTGTACTTTGGAACCTTTATTACTAAATAATTTACCTTCTCATCCATTGAAAAATTATACACTAGTAGCAATGGCCACACTATCCAAGGTTTGTTGTTTTTAGTATTTCTTTTTTTTTCTTGTTAGATATAAATTGAATTTATTATATAAGATGAAGTTTTTTAGGTGATTGTTGTTTGCATAAGACCCAGAATGAGAGTTCTTCTTACACACTCACTATCAGGTGCAGCAATTGCACCGCCACAACTTTCTTGGCAGTTGGTTGTAATACAAGCAGCTGATGCATCTCGAGTAGTTGATCCAGTATTGGCTCTTGCAAGGGATGACATAGTACATTTTTACCAAGTACTACTATTTTATATGATCAACTATTTTATATTTATTTCTTTGATCCAATATTTCATATTTAAAATTATTACCAAGGTATCTACTGAGGCTGGTACCAGAGTGAAGTTATCTCCTCTTCGCAGAATGTCATTTCCACACACTATAAGCAATTTACGATGGCTAAATCCAAGATCTTTAGTTGTATTAGATACTCAAGAAAGATTACATTTATTAGATGTAAGAACACAAGATAGCTTAGAAACGTTAGATATGAGTCGTGTTTGTATTTCATATGCTTCCAGTCATTTCAAAGGATTATGTACAGGTGGTAATGTTTCTAAGGTATGAATTGTTTTATTGACAATTATCTAAAAACAATATTAGAATAATTGTTATTTTTTTGCTGTACAATATAATTATTTTTGATAGGCAATGGCATTAGCTGGGGAAAGAGCTTGCTATAATACTGTTATAACATTTGGAAATCAACTTTTGTTATTAGGTACGAAAAGCTTACATGCAGTATGCATAAGAACATGGACAGAACGATTGCAGCACTTAACAATGCAGGTATATCTAATAAAAAATGTTTAAAAAGTGCTTGTTAAAAAATAACATTTTTTCTAGGATCGTTTTCCAGAAGCTTTAGCCTTAGGACTTTCCTTTTATCAAGATAAAGGCAAAGCTGTCGTTGGGCTTAGAGGTTCGAAACAACGACGCAAACAAATAGTTCGAGATACAGTTTGTCAGATTTTGATTCAATATATGGAACAATTGAATCATTCCTCTATGACTGATAATATAGAATTTGATATAGTCAATATTTGCGTGGATTACTGTATACAATTAGAAAATACAGAATTGTTATTTGGAAGATTATGGGACTTAGTATCTGAAATCGAAGGGCTCAAATCAAGTTATTTGTGTGCCCTGGAAAGTCCATTACTGAATGGAAGTCTTCATCCAAGATTACCACCTTTAATAGTTCAACAATTATTTAACTTGTATGATCAAGAAGGAAAAGTGGATTCACTTCAGACAATTGCCGTTTTATTAAATATAGATTGTTTAGATATACATCAGGTAAATTTATATATTCTCTAATCAATTAAATTTTATACTCTTTAACATTATCATTGCAGATAACAACCATTTGTCGTCGAAGAAGCTTGTGGGAAGCTCTTATACATCTTCAAACAGCAGCTTTAAGTGATTTTACAGCACCTATACACCAGCTTGTGCCTATCCTTCAAAATGCATTGACAAATACCAAAGAATCATTATCTCGAGATATTTTGCAACTTGGTAATGCACTTTTGGTTTATGCTAGTTGTTGCCTTGCGGGACGTGGTTTCCCTAGAGATACACTTCCTGAGGTTATGTCACAGAGGGCAAAAACAGATATATTGAGAGCACTTCTCTCTCAACATTCCAGTCTAGCAAGTGATGCAGAGAGGCAATATCCTTATTTGAGAACACTACTTCGCTTTGATGCAAAAGGTTTTTTAGATGTAATCGCCATTGCCTTTCAAGAACCAGAATTTACCTCAGAAATGGGTCTTAGACAACGACAAAGACTCATAGATATTTTATTGAGTATTGTTCTACCTAGTACACCTCTTACTCCAATGAATTCAGACTATATCACTGATGAACAAAGGACTTTAGTTCTAATATTTATAGTAAATGAAACAGCAGGAGATAAGATTAATTTGGAACCAAATATTTTAATTAGAATAGTAGAAGTATTATGTGATTCCTCGTCTGTTGTTACATCTAGGGATCTTAAATCTGAAAAAGAGAATGCAGTGTTAGGACTATTAAACTCCAAGAAATTGCGCAACATATCAGATACTACTTTACTGAATTTTGCACAGAAAGCTAACTTGTAAGTAAAAATGTATAGTTTAGTTATTAATAACCGTTTAAATATATTCAAATATGTTTAAGATTTTAATTAACATAAAAATATTGTTAAATCAAGATATAGCATTCGAGAAGTTCTTTTTTCTCTCTTGTAAATATCTGAAAAATGATTATGTTTATTTATAACAGTTATCTAATGATATGCTAGCATTATATGTATTAATTTGTACCGCAGCATGTAATGTTGCAGTATGCGAGTCGCAGAGTTGCTGTATACTGCCAGAGAAGATTGGGTAGCAGTTTGCAAGTGCATGATACTTGATCCTATTAGGCATTGTGATATCTGGCCTTGGTTGGAGCGACTTCCTACGACTTCACTATATCCAGTCCTATTAACTAGTGCTTCAGCTCTGGTGGCAATAAATGTTACACAATTTGCTCTTATTATTGCCAGTCGAATGCAAAATAAAATTCCTGAAATTTTAAAAAAATTTGATGGTACCCTAAGTCTAGAATATGCTCTCTTAGGAGCTCTATATCAACTCAGTCAATATAAAGAAGAAGAAACTACCCCAGAATTGTCAACTGAACTTTTGGAAAAATATTTAGCATTAATGTGTAAGGTAGAACCAGAAAATGTAAGTGTGATTATATATAAACAACAACAACAACCATGTCAGATGATTATTTTCAATTATTTTGTTCATATACAGGTAGTCAATCATATAAATGGACCACATGGTTGTAGATTAGATGAGGCATTAAAAATAGTCAAACAATCCAATCATATAGATGCTGAAGCAGTAATGCTTGAAAAATTGGGAAATTATCAAGAAGCTTTCGATCTTTTGCTAAATCAATTCAAAAGTCAATTAAACATGGTATTTATTACAAAACTATCTAGTAAATATTATGTTTATCATAAATAGTCACACACAATAACATTAGGTCTTTTTTATATGGATAACAAATTTCTTTTTCTTAGTATTGCCAAAATAAATTTTTTGAGAAAGAGGCTATTATTACTGCAATGCAATTAGCAGGAATGTGCAGAAGATCCGCTGGAACCTTGAGTTGGATGCCACTTGTAGAAGTTGTATTGAAAACTCATTCAGACAGCGTCAATGAAAATGGTATTTAAAGTAGTTTTTTCCATTTTTTTGGGGGTTTGTTTTCTTACTATCGATAATTTTTGTATTATTTAACAATATAAAACATAATAAGTAATAAATTGCAGTCGAAAAATTGAGTGGAAAACTATTAAAAATTATTTTGGAATCACTTAGCGGTACAACAGCTCTATCAACTGTACTAGAACAAATTTTAAAACATCCATTATCAAAGAGTGGAACAATAGGTGACATACGTCAATTGCTCGCAGGAGTACTCACGCATTCTCAGTATGAACAAACTCTGGTTGAAACTACTGCACGATTGGTCAGCTTAGAACTCCATAAAGCATTAAAAAAATCTCTTAGGTATTAATATTAATACCATTAACTACATTAAATATCAATAAAGATAAGATTATTTATTATTAAACAATTTATTATTTATGCAGAGATGCAGGGAAAGCTTGTGCAAGCATTTCCCTTATTTGTCCTATATGTAGACAAATTTTATGCCAAAGTACGAATTATGTAGCAATTTTTGAATGTGGACATGGATATCATTTAGACTGTTTGGGAGAGCCCAGATCTTGTTATAAATGTTTAAATGCCAAAGGATGGGCACCTGTTGTTACTAATATTATACGTACTAGTAATTCGCATCTGGTATGTTATAGCATTTATTAGATTTTCTTTATAATTAATATTTAAAACTACCAATTTTCTTCTCATCATTTGTTAGCTATCTCAATCATTATATATATATATTGATTTTTTCTTCTATAAATGTTTTTCTTTGGTCTTCTAGGAAAGGAAACAAATATTGCCACCAGAATTTATGCGTACTAAAAACTTTTCTTTAAGTCTAGCACCACCAACTTCTATTCCTGATCTTGAAGGCATTTTTTAATATAAATATTAAACACACGCGAGAATTTCATGTACATAAGGATCGTTTTATTTGATGGTAAACAAACTTTAGCATATAATTAATTTGATACATTATGTCCCGTCTTTCTATTTTCACTCTCATCTTTAGAAGTATTCATTAAAATGAATTATTATATTTTACGAAATATAATATTAAGTTTAAATTATTATTAATGTCTATTTTTGAGATGAAAACTATAACAATACAGTTTCTTTACATTTTAAAGTATTTACAGTTATTATCATGCATTATTACTGATATACTAGTTTTCATATGTTTATAAATTGTAAACTATTAAATTGCATATATTCTTCGTAATATCTATAAGACATACACACTTTTATTTAGAAAAAAAAGGCTATTGGCTTATTAAGCTGTATATTTAATATGTTGCCAAATATATAATCTTAAAGAAGAGTTGAAAAATTTTTATTCCTCATTCTAATATAACGATCTTATTGTTAATATGTTTTATGTTTAAAAAATTCGTTATCCAATTTTTAACTGATTCAATAATATTTAAAATTGCCAAAATTATGTAACACTTTTAAACAATTTAATTGTAGATAGAACTGGTACATTGACTTTTCGTTTATTACTTTTTATTATAAAAACTGGCTTTTTTGTTATATTTTCTGCTAATACATAATATGGGTTTATAATTTCATTACCCATAAGTTCACCAGTCAATAGTTTGGATACGAATGAAAAAGCATTAAGATCTGAGGAAATTAATTGACTTTTTGGTAATAATGCAGTACTTGATACAAATTTGTCAATTGTTGATTCTAATTTCAGAATGTATGGGACCATTTTTGACATAATTAAGTACTGTTGCATCTGAAATTGATAAATGTACATACATTCATCGTAATCATATACGCAATTAGAAAACAATTCAATAATTTTTTGCATACTCAACCTTATTTTCATATTTTTCAAGATTGTTTAATAATACTACTATTTCATTAAGCAAGTTATATCCTATTAATACATCATTTGAATTATATTTTGTTTCATTAGTCTGTAATTTATTCTTTACTATAACGACTTCTTTTTTAATTATGCCAAGAAGAGAAGATAGTGCAATATTCGGCAGAGTATGGCTTATGACTTGAATTTTAGAATATTGTTTGTAAATCTATATTGTAAAAGAACATCACACAAATAATACTTATATTACAAATTAAGAAAGTAATTAAATATGAATTAATTTACCTGTTGAGTTATGATTGTCCACAAATGAAAAATATTATTTGCAAATTTTTTAATCTCATCATTAACTGAGCAATGTATTTCTGCCAAGCTCCACAACGAATTGAGCTTATCGGTCAAATTGCTTCTTATTTTATTAAACCATTCGAGTTTAGTTTCTAATTCATATTCTAATCGTATTCCATAATCAGCCTCGTTTCTGAGAATTGTTACCTATATTAAATATATCTATTTATTGTAATTTATTTCATAAATAAATTTCATGTAAAAACTTATCTCAATGAAATTATGTTAAACTGTTACTACAATAAGAGTAATGTTTTACTATTTTTGTTTAATTCTTTATTATTTTATATCTTAATGTATATTTCGCTTAGAAATACTTACATTTTTGTGAAGAATCTTTAAAAATATATTGATTGAAGTTTCAACAATAATTATTTGAGATCCCACCATCATATTAGTGTTTCTCATTCAATATACATTAAAACTAAAATAAAAAAGGGACTAAGAAATAACAGAGTAATTGCGTTTTTATCCGAAGTAGTAGAAGATATATAATCGTCATTTTTTTCTAGATGCTTTTGTTTTATTTCAGTAAATTATTCTAATAACAAATACAAATGAAAATTTGTTCTTTTTTTTTTTTTAATTTATATCTTGTACATAAAGTTGACATTTTTTTTTTTATGATTGTTATTTCTACGGTGATTTACAGTATGAGATATACTAATGATGTCTTTTGGCTAGTATTTAATTCGTAAAATGATGTTAACGAGGTATTGTAAGTAAAGCAGATAAGATCTACCTCACATTTGACTTAACAAATTCTCTATAATTTTGCAATCTTAATCCTTGTTCCTTATCATTAAAAAGTCCTAAATTTACGAATCTCTAAGTAATTTACAATTTTCTTGAACTAATATTTTATTATGATTACTTTTAAAGCTAATATTTAATATGTTCAATCCATTATGGACATTATTTCAATATTGATTCTAGTTTACTACTATAAAGAAACAATTTACACACAATTATATAACAAATATTGATTTAAAATTATTTTTAAATGAAATAGATACCACAATTGATTTAAAATAGAATTTATCAACTTTTATTAAGAGACCGTGAAAAGAACAACAGTTTTTCAAATTGGTGTTTGTTGGTAAAATATTAAATAATCTCTTTTCACATATAAATATAAATTCTTTTTTTGCAGACAGGAGGTGAGTATCATTAATGAAGACTGAAGGACGGATAGCATTATTTATTTGCACTAGCATTTAAATGTAATATTTATTATAGTCAAAAAGAGTTATTTTTATTTTAAGTAGTTACTTTTTTGGTAATAATTCTTCTATATATTTTTTACAAATTTAATATATGTAAACAATATAAATAAATTCTAATTCAGGAGAAAATAAAAATTATTATTTTTTGACGATAATGTATCTATACAAAAAAATCATGTAAGAGTAAAATTCAAGGACTTATAATAAGATGTATGATACCAAAAACAATTCTTTCTTTATTTTGAACATAAAAAATCAGCATATGTATATAACACATATAATATATATATATATATATGTGTATATATGTTATCGATACTCAACCTCCTTATATATATATATATATTATATATATATAAGTCATGAATCATGTTTAAAATAAAAAGAAAAAAAGGATCAAACCACGTTATAAACTCTTTAGGAACATGCAAGAGTTAAAATGCAATAAATGAACCACATTATATGTCTGACACTGAGATACTTCATGAATTAATAATCTAAATCAGCGCTGAGACATAGGCTTTGACAGTTTATTTTCAATAGACAGCAAAACTGTGTATCGATCAATAACTTCGAACTAATACCATATTTCCCATAATATTAGAATGTTTTAAAGGCTATTTCATAGAACTTGTTTTTCTTTCTTTTATCCTCGCTGCCAATGTACGCGAGAATTATTGTGGTATCTATTACGATTATGCCTATAGTTACTGTTACGTCGTAGCCGCCTATTATTGGAATTATCATAGTAAGATTCTCGGTTGTAACCGCTAAGTGATCGATTCCAAGTTTTTCCATTTTGATATTCTTGGAATATATTGTGTCCAGTGCCTAATCTATCACCACACATTCTATGTTCTTTAACTTTTTTAATTCGACCTCGATCAGCTTCTTCATCGTCCGGATTCATGTGACGTTTACGCTCTTCTCGTCTTTCATTATCAACTTCACGATCCAAATGACACCTATTGCCACGCCAATTTGTTACTATAAAAACAATGAAATAATTTAATGTATTAATACACTTCAATCATTCAAACTTAATTATTGTTTGTCTTTATTCTCATCTCGATATTATTTTCAGATATACAAACCTAAAGAACTGCCATATCCACGATGGGACATTTTTAACAAACTTGAGACAGTATCCGAACGGTTCGTTCCATTAAAATCTCTTAATGCCGCAGCACTTGGTGTTGTATTGTTTTGATTGCATTTAGTTGAATCTTCTCTGAAAAGAGTACGTTTGAATATAATAAATTAAATAAATTCATTTAAATTTTACTTTTACATATTCATTCGGAAGATAACTTACATAAAACACATCATTAAAAGAAATATTAGAAATTTACATCTATATAAAATAAATATATAATTAAAAATAAATCAAATGAAAATATATTACTTGTTATCAGTCACAGACCATCCATTTGGGGTTGCATTTGATATGGAAGGAAATGCATCTTTTGATACTTGCCAACCCTTTATGCTGCTACTTGCAGCTTTGGTAAGTACTTTTTCTTCCTGGCCTGTTTTTACTCTAATTGGATGATAAGACTTTTCCTTATTACTATTTTCCGTCTTACCATTTATTTCTGATTTTATATTTTGATGTTTTAAGGAAGTTAATGAATTGTTACCATTAGAAACATTTTGTATTTTCGTACATTGAACAGAACTATTTTGACTTGAAGACGTTGAATTATTAGACTGTTTCACCGTTAATATTTGTATTTCTTTTGAGGTAGGAACTGTTTTATGTAGTGAGTCTTTTACTGTAGATACCTTCTGTGCACCATTAGCTACAGTAGGTGAAAAATTAATTTTCAATGCAGAAACATTCGTTACTACACGATTTTTGTTTGATACAGAAGAATTAGTTTCTTCTTCTTCACTTGAACCATCGTATGGTACTAAACTATTTCCACTTAATACTTTTTTAAATTGCCATGGTTGAGATTTTTCTTGTGACTTTTGTGATAACTGTGTTCCACTGATACTTGTATACTTTTGTACAGGAAGCTGAAGTCCTATGTTTTTTTGAACGGATAATTGTTCACCTATCTTTGAACCCTCTATACCACTTTTATTAATGGGAGAACCATTAACGGATCCATTATATATGTCAGATGTTGATGCTTTTGGATTAATAGGCTTACTAGAAGAACTCGAAGATAATACACTTTTTTCAGATGACATGCCATTCATTTTAACAGCCTGTTGATTATTTATTTGACCTTGATTAGGTTCCATTTCAAATATCATTATATATGCATTTGTATTTAATACATTACTAAGACTAATTGGACGAACCTAAAAATAAAAAAAAGAAACATATTACTAAAAAATTACGTATTTACTTATCAATCTATGACTGCGACATTTTTTTATATACTTACAGATGAATCATCAAAGGAGTAATATTGACCAGTTGAAATTTGTGCAACTGCTGTATAATGTCCACAATTTATTGACGGACCCATATGTGTAACAAGTGACATAAGCTTATATGTGAGTTGCTGCAAAGGTTCATTTGGTTCTCTCCATAGATAAGGACCCATATCTATCGTCTGTCTAAAATCTATGTGACGAGATATTTTTCCTCCCAAGACACTAAATCTTTTCAGTTGAACACACAAAACCTTAGGAGCTCGTTCTAAACTAAATTGTTTAGTTGCGGGTACTCTTCTCTTACAAGCTTCACACTTATAATCGTTATTATCCAATTGTTCTCGACTAAAATAACTATTTAATGCTTCGTCCAATGTACTTGCTTTACGTATATCAACCAATAAATCCTATATAATATAAAGAAAATTCTTTATGATATTTCTTCGAATAATTTGCATTTAATTTATTCAATAAACGTGTAATTATTTTCTTACCTGAAAATGTTGAAATGTAGTAGAAACGTGTCCACATTGTAAGCACTTAACTTCAGTGCGTATATAACCACCAAATATTTGATTGATAGGTGTTGTTTCTTTAGAATAACTATCCAACTTTCCTGCTTTGCGCCTTGTTAAATAAGCTCTTTCCATTCCTTCTAATAAATAACGTAGAAATTCATGAGCATCTTCTTGTTGTCCTGGTACCATAGTTCGACAGATAACTAGAATTATGAAAATTACTATATATTATATAATGTTAATTAATAATCTTATATAAACATTGTTTTATAAATCAACATAATTACGTTTTAATTTATTATATATATAGAATGGTTTGATGTTGCCTCCTGACTTCTGGTGACTGAATTGTAGAGTCTTGGCCACTGCACAAGTAAGGCACTCTCCACCTCCATCTAAAACTATCCTATTATCAAAACACCATTCAAAACAGTGGTATTAAGATTTTAAAAGTTTTGCATGTCCCACCGTAATAATGAAAAATATAGTGTTCAATATTATTATATAAAGTACTCACCATTTTGTTCACATTTTGAGGTATGATGTGAATCCGATAATAACCAATTTACAAATGCTGGTACATGAAATAATGCCTGAAGTGTACTATTTAGATGGCAAGTATTGCCAACATTATACATGCCAGCTCCTACTGGAAATGTTTTTCTCCATCCTAGATTAACTTTCTTAGAGCAATACAAAGTAATGGCTGGTTCTGGCAATGTAGGACCGTCACTCATACCTTCGTTTTTTTTTACATACGTTGTACCATCTTTAGATTTTGTATCCTCTATTTTATCAGAATTTGGTAAACTCAAAACAATATATTTAGCTTTAAGTTTATCCAAAATTGTTGCCTGATAGTCATCGACTTCTTTATATTGAATTTCTGACTGAAGAATTCTTGATGCGCTAGTAATTAAACTTGTAGATAGCTCATCTGTTCCTTTCTTTTGGCTAGCTTCTAGAGTACGGCGGAGTGTTGCCGCAACAGGATCGCAAACACTTACAGCTGGCATAACTATCGCTATTACTACTTATACTATATTGTTTGATAAACTCCTGCGAAATAAATATATACAAAAATGTAAAGATACCGATATGAAAATCTATTGGGAATAATTCATTCTTTAAAAATAAATTAATATAAATTCTAAATGATATTTTATTAAATCTAAAAGATCAAATGAGTATTATTATCAACGTTATCTTATCAAGATGACTGGTTTTAATTTACTCAGCTTTACAATTAGAGATTACTTTAATAAATTTCTAGACTTCTTACGGTATATTTGTTAAATGTTTGATAAATATATTATTATATTCAATTAATATACACTCAACTAAAAAGGTTAAGGCAACTTTCAAATAATTCAGTAACTTAAAAACATTAATTATATTAACTTAAACGAACCTTATTAAAATTATAATATATATTCTAATTTCAATTTTTTGGCTAAATACTTCGAATATCCATACTTATAATTGCAACGAGAAATAAGAAGTATCAATCGGTTGAAGAAACACGTGCACGTTTCCTACGAACAATTCACGCAACGATGATTATCGACGCGATGGTAGAAAAAAATTTAATCTCCGAACAACAACGATGGAATATGTAAACAAACAAATATATATATATATAATTAAATAAATTAAATAACGCACATGATGGTGCTATTAAGCATGAAAGCACGCGGCACGATGGATACACTATTGTTTATCTTCCGTTCGTGATAATCAGTGTAATACGATAAGTATAAGTGACTATAATTAATAATTTAATGGTAAATACCTTAGATTTATTAATGTTAACTGATTACGTATAGAAAAAAATACGTATTATCGATTAATTGCTAATTGTTTGCGCTCATGTATTTCGAAGTAGTTACCGGATGAGTTTAACTGGAAGGCGTGTGTATGTAGCCATGAGGAAGGTTTTCCCGCGTACTTTGTACACTTACCCCGCCTTTAATTCACGCACACATACACCGCAAGCTTAATCTTCATCCGTAGCGCCATTACAAATATCGTGTTTTAAGGATATACAACATTTTCGCGAATTGTTTCAGTCTCTTAAGGGAAGAAAAAATATCAACCGAACTACATCATGATGACAGCCATTTGCATTTCCATCGACAACCTCAATAACGCCGACTACCCATCGCGCTTTCTGCCGGATTTTTGAATTCTCTCCAGCCAGGCTTGAGCAGTTAGTAACCCCCTTTCCATCTTGTATTTTACGTCTGAATTTAGAAATACTTTATCTCGCATTACCAGCGAGACGTGAGATTTTTAATTCTTTCTGCAATTGCCATTGATAATGAGATTTCCATCTTCTATATATATATATGTATGCACTATCGGACTATCATCGATGATGACTTCTTTCATTCGTTGTACGAAGAGAAAAATAATTTCTTGAAATTGTTCTTATTAATAAATTGAAAAAATACATTTGATAATAGATCAGTTTTTTTTCACAATTCGTGGGAGAATAAAGAAAGAAAAAAGTATGATAATTCTAAGCCGGAAGAACAGGGAATTTAAAGCGATATAAATTCTTGTACAAACGTTTTGGGTACACTGGGACGACACCAAAATTGAGAATGCAGTTCCGTTTCAATCGAAATTGGATACTTTTACGATGAATATCGTACACTACGTAAATTGGAATTAATATCAATCTGCTGAACAAGCATAATAATTTTAATAATTTATATTATATTATTACTATATATTGTGTCTTCACTAATTTCATTGCGCTATCTGGTGAAGTATGCATCGGACTAACTCGATCATAAACTCAGTCAGTCATATTCCTTTCTTGAAATTTTTGATCATAGGTCTTTCTTTTTGGTGCTGCATTTCCTTCTTTCTATTTTTTTCTTTCTCTTTTATTTGTTATTTTATTTTTAGTGTTATTTTATAAAATTTCTGTGCGTATGCCTAATTTTTTAAGTTTCATTCACTTTAATTAATCGATTTTTTTTTTTGTAATTTTTTGATCTAAACAAATAAGATGATACCATTTATTTAATAAATTTATAATGTCTTTCAGACGACTCAGTAAAAATATAAATTATTTGACTGCATTGACATTATCGACATCGATTGATATTTTAATAAATTATTTTACGGTTTTAATGTTAAGATTCAACACGCGTGTACAATTATAAGTTATATTTTAAATATAATAAAATTTTTAATGCAAAATAAAAAAAAAAGATATGTCAGGTCCCACCGAGATTTGAACTCGGATCGCTGGATTCAAAGTCCAGAGTGCTAACCATTACACCATGGGACCGCTTGTAAAACTTCCTACTTTTTCATTTCATGTTATTCAGACTTTTTCGTCCTTTTAAATAGTATTGTTATTTCTCTATATCACATTCAATAAAATGGACATTCAACGAGTTTCACTCTTATTATAACGTTATATACGTGGGCTTACATCAATATATAAATCATTGTTATAGATTACAAGTTACAAATGCTTCAATAAGTTATGGCAGAATAAGAAAAGAATAAGTTGCAACGTATTTCTCGCTCGTGCTGTTTGACTAACAATAAACTATATCTATTTTTTTTTGAGGTAAATTAATAAAAGATAAAGTAAGTGTAAAAGCTTTAATATAACAAAATTATATCTTATATTCATCGAACTTATTTTTTTGTTCTTATTGTATATGTACATACATATATACATATATATATATATATATATATGTCACATATTTGGTCAAGTTATAATATATACAGTTTACATATGTTTAGTAATACTTGATATTTAAATAGAAACGTTATCATTGCTGATTATCGATAATCTATCAACATTGGTGATAATTAGGAAGTCGATTAACTTATCGTCCGTATTATCTTATAATAGAAATTTTATATTGCTGTCTCGAGAATGTCCGCCTTAATGTTTAACAACGAACGTAGTCGTCTTTAGTATTTCGATTTGGCGGTCTTCTATTAGTCAGTCTATGCACGTTTATCAAATATAACGGCATTAATATACATAAATCAAGTGTTATAATATTTTGCGTTAGGCGATCGGAACGAAGAAATGAATTATACGCCTTGAAGTTTGGTATACTACTTGACGAATACTAAGATAAATTAAAGCTTCAATAAGGTTAGATCCATTAACCTTAAAGTAGAAAAAAAGAAATTAAAGAGAACAAAATGAATCGTTTTGGTGAAGATGAAAGTGGTAATTCATATATGGACAGACGTTCTAATGGTCGAGGACGAGGTCGTGGTTCTTGGGCGCCAATCCCAAAAAGTACTCAAGAACGACAAACATTAAGAAGACCTCATTTTACCGGTAATACTCATCCAGCTGTCGGTGGTTCGTTTCCTATTACAATATATAAATACTTTGTTTCTTATACATTATTCTATTTATGAATGTTGTTTTCTCTTATCAATAAGAAAATTTATACAGGTTCTACTTTGACAACCTACCCTGAACAAAACAGATCACAAGAATTTATGAACAGAATTGTTGAAAATTCTACTTTATCTGTGCATGCTGCTGAATTTGTTCCTAAATGCCAGAGTTACGTTGTACCTATGGTAAATGAAAATATATATATCATGTATATATGTATATATATATATATGTATATATATATATGTAATGATATATTTATATATAAACATACAATTTTTAATTTCACTTAAGATTTTTTAACTGATTCTATTTGTATGTTCCAATATTCATTTTTGAAGCAACAACAGTCGTCAATGATGTGGCCCAAACATTCTGTCCAAAATAGAATTCAATTAGCAAGAGAATTACCGCATCAAATGCAGCATCAATTACCGGGTCAAACACATTTACAACAAAGACAAATGATAGACAGACAACATTATGATCACTATTCTGAATCCTCATATTCATCTCGACAACGACAACTGGAAGATCCAGAAATAAGAAGAGTTCAGGTACCACTGATATTTTCTTAACAACATATTGATCGTATATTGATCAATATACGAGTACACAAAATACTGAAAGTTATGATATATATGTTTGTGATAGTATAGATAGATTTCAGGTTTGCTTTGTTGTCAGAATTATAATAAGTTTTTCTATTATTATATTATTGTTATCTTAAATTGTTTTTTAATCAGGAGTTACGGTTAGATAATCAGGAACTAAATTTGGCTAATACAATGCAACAGCTAGGTAGTGTAATGCATTATTTAACTATGAATCCTGGAAGTTTTGCATCTTTAGTACCACCACTTCTCAATAATATCAAGCTTTATTGCGAATCTCCTACTCAACTTCAAGAAATTATGGATGTTGTAATAGTACAAGTATATAACACTTTTATTTATTTCTTTTGCTAGTATTTGCACAATTTTTTATTATTATTATTTATAATTGATAACATTCTTTTAGAGTATAACTGAAGGAAATTTCCGATATAGCGGTGCTCGAATCTTTATGTGTCTCGATACAGCTATGACAAGGGAGCAACAAAAACCTTTCAGAGAAATTCTACATTTACTGTGAGTTTATACTTATTCATATCTTAAGTTAAAATAAGTATAAATATAACACAGCAGATTTGTCAATATTAAAATCTTATTTTCGCTTTTATACATTTCTCATTATTTTCTTGTCACTCTTATATCTTAATTATTTTTATAATTCAAATAGATGTAAGGAAAAAACACAGAAATATGCTGCTACTTGGCAAAAAAATGACAAACATACAGAAGAAGAACAGATCAAATGCCACGGGTTTATATTATTCCTAGCAGAATTAGTCGTCCAAATGGGCGATGTACTTGCTTTTGAATTAGGAGAAATATTAATACAACTTATTTCAATTGTTCTGAAAAATCCAGGATCAAATTCTGCTAAACATATATGTCAAGCACTAAAGGTATGTTAATTATGAATAGATAACTAATAATAATTGATATTTTAATATTGATTTAATTTCTGATATGTTAATTTCGATTAATTTTAGTTGGCAGGCCATACCTTAGAAAGAGATAAAAGAGGCCGCCGAAAAGAAATGGAAAATATGATGCGTACTTTAACACAATTAGTTACGGAAGGAAGGGCAGATACAAGTGTGAGTCGTATGATCGATAGTGTGCATCAATTGCGTAATGGAAATTGGGGCCGAGAAAGCCATAATGCATCCAGTCAAAATTCAATATCAGAACCTATACATCCACCTAAAATACAGCATGAATATAATGAACTTGTTTTGTATGGTCCTGATGGTAAAGTACTTTCTGCTGAAGAAAGTCAATTCTTACAGGATGCAGCAACAGATGCTTCTGACTCTGAAAAACAGGAGTATGTATTAATCGATGATTATAAACATTTTAATTGCTATCTTTTCAATGCACCTATAGTCATTTTATTAAGAATTAACGGTATTAAATTGAAATTTCAGAGAGCTAGATCACGAGTTAGAAGAATTATTGGATGATGAAGAAGACGAATCATTTGAAACTGCCTATGAAGAATTCTTAAAACTTTTACCCAAAAATATTGAAAATAAAATACATCAGTGAATGTTAGTATAAGAAAGAAAGAAAACATTTATAGTATCCAAGAACACTATTAATGATTGTTCTATAAAAATATTAGTATACAAATATTTTTAATCCTTTGGATAAGGTTATACTTGACGTATCGAAAATAATTTATGTTATATTTATATATTAATTCTGAAAGATAAAAACCTACTGTCCTTGCATATTTATGACGTGGGCTTAAAAGCAGTAGTCATATAATTTACCAAAAACGTTGACTAGCTTTGAAACGTTTAATATTGTATAGATTTAATACATATAATTATACAAATTATTGAAAATGTTGAATAGATAACTGTTATCTATTTTTCAGTTTTTCTTCTTTTTCTTTTCTATTCTATTTGTACAACAGTTTTGATATTACTTAATATATGTACGGTATAATAATCTTTTACCATAAAAGATTGAATATTTCAACTCATTTTGAATTTAGTTAATTAATTTTAGAAGTATGAATTTTTAAATATTATACTATACTTTAACTTGTATACTATAAAACATATTTTAAATATTTATTATTTACAGTTTGATCATATACTTTTTTTTTTTAGAAAACAATCGTGAAAAATAATTTCCAATTAATCATAAATAAAATGGTTACAACAAAGTAAACATTTGATCTAAAAGAGATTTTATTCCTTTGATATCTTTCTCCTTTGCCATATTAAAATGCGTCATTGAAATGATTCACCACGACCTCGAATGCAAGTTGCTTTTTACGGGATCGCGCCATAATGTAGTAACAAAAATCAAGTTTGAGAAGAATAACTGGTTATTTTCATATAACAAAAAAATTGTATAAATTATAAAAATGAACAAAATAATCTTAACGATTGTAATATAAAAATGCAAACACTAAAGATTTTATAAGTATCAATTAAAATATATGATGTTGCATTACATTTATAAAAATTATATTTAATATTATTAGGATTATGTTATTTTTAATTTATTCATAGATACATTTGTTCGCCTAATTTATTCCTATTACTTTTATATATTTATAACATAGAAATATAGACAATATGGACCTAAAATTATGTTGGTTATTAAATATTAAAAGTAGTTGATTTTTGTTTAAATAAAAAACTAAATAGTTGTTTTTCTTAGACTATTTTATCGTATATTGAGTAGGATAGATCAGTGGGACCTTCGTTTAATATATTACTAATAATACTGGAAGATGTTTAAAAATATTTGTAGGCGTATAACAGGAACAAATTATGCTAATATAATACGCATTCTTCCACGAACGTACCTCAGGGTTATGCGCGGGCGAAGTTGTATTAAAGTTTGCGGAAAGTGGGGTCTTCATTCGAAACTATCACCTGGACCGATCGCCGTGTCATTTCCTCAATTCTCTACATTTGCTCATCGTGCACGGATCTTCCGTAGGATCTATATATCAATCATCGGAATTTTATTTAATATTTTTATTACATTGTATCATTCAATTCTGGAAAAATCTAAATTATTGTATAAATTTTATAAATTATATTAAATTTGTATAAAAATAAATTTAAAAAATGAAACACTTTCGAACTTCTATAATATTACTGGTAGCATTCACCATAATGGTCAACGGTGGACAGTACTTGCAATCAAAGATAATTACATCTGGTATAATACTCTCTCTCTTTTTTTTATTCTTCTTTTTCTAACATAATATTTAAAACATGTTCTATAAAATAATTCTTTTGTATTTCGAAGCTGGTTGTGATACCTACACTTGTGGAGTCAACGCGAGATGTACGATGAGTCGTGGGCGTCCCGTTTGTTCTTGTCTCAATCTTCATATGGGCGATCCTCTTTCGCAATGTATACGCGTCGAATGTTTAAGTGAGTATATGATTATAAAATTACATTAATATAATAACACGAAATAACATGCTTAATGTTAATTAAATTATGCTTATTGTTAATTTCGTTTCTATACAAAAAATCAACAGAATTGAGAAATATGCATTTTAAAAAAATGCATTTATTTACTTCTATAGATGAAATATTGAAAATATAAATTACATTTTAGTTAATGAAGATTGCATTGGAGTTAAAACTTGTATAAATAATAAATGCGTTGATCCATGTCCTGGTCTATGCGGTGCAAATGCATTATGTGAGACCAGAAATCACATTCCTCAATGTTATTGTCCACCTGGATATACAGGCAATCCTTCTAATAATTGCCATGTTGCTGATCCTCGTATGTATATGAATATAATTAAGAGTAATATATAATCTTATATACTTATCATTATTTTTACTATTAATTATTAATAATTTTCGTTTCCTACTTTAATATATAGAAGCAGCATGTAAGCCTAATCCATGTGGAGAAAATACAAAATGTGAGGTAAAACATGAAGTACCCGTTTGTTCTTGCCTTCCTGGTTATAAGGGATCACCTTTAACTGGTTGTCGTCATGAATGCGAAAATGATTACGAATGTCCTAATCACCTAACGTGTTCATCCTTATTTAAATGTGAAAGTCCATGTAAATGTGGTGAAAATGCTAACTGCGATGTTGTCGATCATCAAGCCAAATGCACATGTCCGCATGTAAGTTTGCTAATTATTTAAATATAATAATATAACAATAATTAATATATATTAATAATTATTTATATATTTAATGGTTTTATAGAATTGGTCAGGAAATCCATATGTTTCTTGCCATCCAGAATGTACTGCTCATTCTGATTGTCCAATTAACAAACCTGCTTGTCTCTATCAAAAATGTGTAAATCCTTGTGATGGAGTATGCGGAGTAAATGCTGATTGTAATTTACGTGATATTACTCCTGTATGTAGTTGTCCAAGACACATGACAGGGAATCCTTTTGTTTATTGCAGAAATTTTGAACCAAGTATGTAATTAGTTTCAAAAGTATTATTGTTAAAATATTTTTTATAATATTAGTATTTAAGTAATAATCCGTTATATTTTTAGGGGATCTTTGTGAACCAAATCCTTGCGGTGTAGACGCAATTTGTACTCCTGGTCATGATAATACAGGTAAAGAAAGACCAGTTTGTACATGTCCTACTGGTTACATCGGTAATGCTCTACAAGCATGTCAGCGAGGGGAATGCCTTAACGATAACGAATGTCCTGATAATCGAGCTTGTATAGATTTTACTTGTCAAAATCCATGTACCGGTCACGAGTGTGGACCAAATGCACTTTGTTCACCAAGGCGTCATATTGCTGTTTGTACCTGCCCCAATGGAACACGAGGCGATGCACTTTTTAATTGCAATCCAATTGATAGTAAATCTGCATATTATGCAAGATCTTATCGGTATCATTCTTAATAAATTGAACGAAAGATTTTTATGTAAATACTAATACGCATAAGAAAAAAAATATTTAAAAAAATGCAGAATAATGAAATATAAAACTAAAAGTATATTTTTATCAATAATTTTTGTTTTTTTTTAAATGGATTTTTATATATATATCGAAACGTTGTATAATAACAACAAATGTACTGCTACGTTAATTTCGTTAATATCATAACAAAAAATCTAAATCTATTACAAATTAAATTCAAATACTGTACCATAATTTCCCGTACCGTAATGCATAAACATTTCAAAAACATAAAGTATTGAATGAAGTATTTTTTAATACTAATTATATTCATCTTGTACAATTTAACAATTATTACAAATATAATATACAATAATAATATAATACCTGAGATTCATAGTAATAAGTGAATAAATATTACTATAAAATAAAGAACTATTATTTTGTTTACGAATGCATATAGGTGTACATAGTTTTGTACAGATGGCACTATTGTCTCCAAAAATACTGATATGTCAACGGTGACATAATAAATAAAGATTGACGCTATTAATTAAACTTATTATTCTGTTAATTAATTTTTTGTATTTTCTAGTATACAAATAATAAAACTTTTTGATTTACAACATGTTGACATTTTATGATTGAAAGTTAATAAATAAATATTTTTTCAAATAAATGACACACGTAGTCTTTGCCCTGTGGCTCTTTGTTTTGTAATTACGATCTTGAATGAATCAAATACAAACACTTGGTATTGTATAGAAGGATATATACCTATATATATTGAACTTCTTTCGATTTCAACGACGTAATTAAGACGTAACGAACGAACCGTGAAATGTAAGCGTGATATTTTGACATATTTCATAGTAATACGATAGAAATTTTCTTGAAAAACAATATTGATTATTGCTACATTTGATTTATCAAAGTGAACCTGTATTCTAGTGGATTAGCCCGTTGGGCTCTTTCAGCCCAAGAGACCGGAGAGATGTCAATTCGGGCGGCAACTCACCGTCTCGTACAAAATGGTCGGGTATTACTACGTGCCCTTAGAAACAAAGAAAATTTCTATTCCAACGAATGTTCAAAGGATTATCTCAACAAGATACACGTTGTGCAAGTAGGTAAGTCACTAAAGCCTGTATTTTTTTCTTTCTTTCTAAATAAGTATTCTATCAAGGTCATTAGAATTTGGATGAGAAGAAAATATTTAAATTTTGAACTGTTATATATTCGTGATCATATAGTTCTATTAATACTGTATTACAAGTATGCTATATATTGCACACATGTTAAATGATAATTTCCAAAATATATGTTATATTAGAAATAGAAAATAGTATGTAAACAATATTCAATTCTATACGTATTATTCTTTTTTAGAATGTAATTTATTTTGAATGAATGACCAGATATTTATGAACACCTTGTTAATAATGAGTAATACATTAATCTTGTTGTTTTTTAATTAATTTAGGCAAATCCCTGGGTCCTCAGTCCCAAGGGAACATCACTAATGTTTCCGTAACAAGTCATCATTTTGGATTTTTGGGATCTCATGCAAGACGTTTATTCGTTGATAATATCTTAAAAAGAGTCACAAGCAGACTCGCTGCTGATTTACGTAAACGTGCAGCTAGACGTCTTGTGTTCGGTGATTCTGCTCCATTTTTTGCACTCGTTGGTACATCTTTAGCATCAGGAAGTGGAATATTGACTAAAGATGATGAATTGGAAGGAGTTTGCTGGGAAATTCGTGTATGATACATTTTATAGATCAAATCAAATTTATATTTCTATGTTATTATAGATATTTTCTATTTTTTTTTAGGAAGCAATATCTAAATTACAATGGAACATGCCACAAAATGATAAAAATTATGATATTGTGAAAATCAATGAAAATGGTATCAGCTTAAATGATTTGAAAATTGGTCCTATTATTGATAAAGGTTGCTCCGCAGTCGTTTATTCGGCAAAATTTAAAGAAACTACACATATTGTATCTACAATATCAAAACTAGATAATCATGGAAAAAATGAAGATGAATATTCATTTCCTTTGGCATTAAAAATGATGTTCAATTATGATGCAGAATCCAATGCGACAACAATACTTAGAGCTATGTATCGTGAAACTATTCCTGCCTGGAATCGTTACAACAACGAAGAATTAGCAGAATGGGAACATAGGATGGCTGAAAATATGTCTTTGTTACCTCCCCATCCTAATATTGTAGTAATGTATTATGTATTTGCTGATAGAGTTCCAGCATTACCCGGATGGAGTATAATGTATCCTGATGCTCTACCAGCACGTATTAATCCTCATGGATCTGGCAGAAACATGAGTCTTTTTTTGTTGATGAAAAGGTTTGTATTTATTTCAGAAATTAAATTAAATCTTAATATACCGCAATTTTTGTGAACATCATTATGGATAATTATTCTTTTTAGGTATAACACTACTTTGAAAAAATATTTATCCACTTACAATGTGAGCTTACGCGAATCAATATTATTACTGGCTCAGCTATTGGAAGGAATTGCTCACATAAATGCTCAAGGAATTGCACACAGGTACACTGCTATATCCTGTTACAAATGATTGCATACTTCGTCATCAGATATTCAATTGTACTTGAAATTAAATTCCTTTTGCAAGTTTGTGAAATAGGATCTTTGCAATAATAATTTGATGTTTCCTTACATTACATAAGATATACAAAATATAAGATAGAATCATGATTTCATTTATCATTATTTGTTATTATTATTTATGTTATTATTATTTATATATTAATGTTAATACTAATATCACAATATACTATATAATTTGTAATAGTTATTTAATTATTTATCTATTTTATTTTCTATGATAACAGAGATCTGAAGAGTGATAATATACTACTTGATTTATCAGAGGAAACAGATAATTGCCCTTCTTTGGTACTCACCGATTTTGGCTGTTGTTTAGCCGACAAAAATTATGGTTTATACATGCCTTATAATACGGAAAACGTTGATAAAGGTGGCAATATTGCATTAATGGCACCAGAAGTTATATCAGCAAAACCTGGGCCTTTTACAAGTATAAATTATACTAAAGCAGACCTCTGGACTGCAGGCACTATAGCTTATGAAATTTTTGGTGAAAAGAATCCATTCCTTGAAAGTTCTGATAAAAATGCTGTACTTAAAAATTATAGTTATGAAGAACAATATCTTCCTTCATTCTCAAATGATGTTCCAAATATTATTGTTGCTTTAATAAATAATATGCTATCAAAAAATTTGTCTAAGGTTTGTGAGATATTAAAATTGAAACAAGTTATATTTAAAGAAAAATATAATAGCATAATATTTTATACTTTGTGATTATAGAGACACACCGTAGAAATGGCTGCAACTATAATGCAATTGTATTTATGGGCACCTAGTTCATGGTTCAGAAATGAAAGCAAAGTACCTTCTAGTAATGAAGTATGTATTTTTATATTTTTTTTTATCTATATATGAATTTGATATTTTATTGATATGATATTTTCTATAGATCATGGAATGGCTATTGTGTTTGACAACTAAAGTTCTATGCGAAGGCCACAATGGCTCACCATTATTAAGGAAAACTTTAAATGATAAAAATGAACAAAGTTCCTATCGTCAATTGTTATTAACACGTTCATGTGGAAGACGCACAATGCCAGAATATCAATTAATTGCAAGTTTTCTTGGTAGAGTTACTCTTTCAAATGTTAGAAGTGCTTTACGATGGATACAAAAAAATGTGCAATAGCTTTATTTTTCTTTTTTGATAAAAAAGTAATATAAAGTAATGATATTGCTTAATTACTTCTAGTACTTATAAATCGCAAATATTAAAAAAAAAGCACTGTTTTATTTATACGATATGACATTTGTTAAAAATGTCGATAATAATCTAATTCACAATGGAATAATCAATTGTGATAAATTTTTTGATCTATCTTCACTTGCTGATTTTTGTTTCTTTTAAAGTATATTTTTGATACTTCAAAGGATACAAAAGATAAATATTGCAATATTACATATATAAATAAGAAAGTTATTTTTTTCTTTAATTTATAAGTTATGGAATGCTATTACACGCATGTAATCTATCCAAAGCTTTTAAGTAAAATGATTATAAGTTATTGTCGAACATTGCACATTAAATTAACATTACTTATTTTATTTTTTAATAATATATACATTATGCATATTATGTTTAACATATTTAAGTATCTTAAAGAAATATTTTTGTAATATTTAATTGGACATGTTTATATAAATTTGTTACTTATTTAAAATCAAAATGAATTAAAAAAGGATTAAATTAAAAGTGATATTTTTTGTTATATGAATAATTGAATTTTTGAAATATGTATATATTGGCATCAATCTTGTACAATAATGTAAAAAGAAAAAAGAAAAATAAAGCTTGTAAATATTAAAAGTAAAGATATTTGGATTTTATTTTTATCGTGTTTAATTGAAGCACGCATTTCAAGTACAACGAATAAATATATTTGATTTTATTTTATTCTATATAAATGATGTGTTCATTTCAATTTAGGAATCTTCTATTTAAAATTTGCCAATATAAATTTTTCCAATAATTAGATTTTAGATACTTTTATATGCTAAATTTTTGTATTAAATTAGAAAATTATAATCAGCAAATTATACATATAATACATATCATAATATAATCTTTTACGAAACATTATCATTTTGAAAGTTATTGGTTATAATACTTTATTTCTATAATATAATATACAAAATAAAATATAATATATATAAGCTTCATTAGGTTTGCTTTATATTATTTATAACATAAAGTAACATAAAATTTGTAATACAAACAACCCATGAGTATGACCTAGTTATTCACACTGTAGATATTTTATCCAACACTACGTTTTATCTTGAAATATAAAAGTAGCATCTAACATCCGTTGTATTACATGAAATTCACAGTGAGTGTCAGGTAAATATCTCGATACTTTATGGATTAATTCTATGGTATCATTGTTGGAACAGTTTGTTAGAATTAATTCTGACATATTCTGTAAAAAAAAAATAATGCATATAAATTATATTAACAATACTTTCTAACTATTTAATATATACATGTTTTAATATGAACTTACTAAACTTTCAAGATATTTATGAAGTGTTGTACTTATTCGTGAAACTTCTTCTAATAAATCTGGTGATTTTGAAAGATATGCCATCATTCTTCTTCCAGCTATAGGCAATAAGTCGGACGCTAATTTATCAGTGTCATTCACAGCTCCAACAACCTAATTATATATTAACATACATATAAAATTCTTTTCAAAAATGTATTATTAATTACCTACTGATTTAAATATTAAAGATGGTAGTCTAATGTATTATAATAAAATGTTATTATAGAGTTAGAGGGGAAAAAAAAATTGTGTTATTCTTATTAACAACCTCTTCTGCTAATCGATCAAATCCATTGATATAAAGTTGACAAGCTTGATGAATTCTTAATTCATCACTATTTAATTTCCACATAGAACCGAGAGTTTGACACCTGCTCATCCAGAGTACAGCTTGCGTAGAACTTAATGTTTTTCCATCTACAGTTTCTTGATGAATGAAATCCATGGAAGCTGTAATTACATGACGTAAAAATTCTAAACGTAAGCTATCTTTTCTATCATCATGATTCCAAGTAAACATTATTTTATCTGATATATCTTGAAAAAAGTATGGATGAGTCTGGAAAATAATAAAAACACGATTATTCATTTTTTTATAATTATTAATTATGTTAAGAATAACATTTTTATACATATATTATTCTCACCACTCCTTCAAATAAGTTATTTAGAGGCTTTGATATCTTCAGGTTGAAATATGCCATCATGTATAAAACATTAGCTATCTGCAAATGTAGGATAATTAATTCATACCATGCAGGTGTTTGTAATAGAGCTGAAAATGCAAATGGTTGTGGTCCGGATTGACCTTCCCATAGTTCTTCTGATTTAAGTAACACGGTACTTGTTTGCAACAATTCAGCCTACAAAATATACATCATTTAATGAAAAAAAATTATATTTGTAAATAATTGTAGATAAATCATTATCTTACATCGCTGAATATATCAAAAAATTTAACACAATATTCTAGAAATGTAACTAATTGCTTGTCAGAAAGTCCAGTTTCTTGTATAGATAATCTTTCTTTCGGCAGTTTACCTAGCTTATTCATGATTTTTCCAGATGCTTCCATTCTTTTTTTTATATATAATGTCCATAAAAGACAACAAACACCTGTTGTTATAATATTTATTATTTTAACATTTATAAAATGTATATTGTTTTATATATACGCGCGTAAGGTTTAAAATACAATTTTTGTACTAATGTAAGAATTAATTTTTACCATGTTGCATATGTTTCATAGGTATGTGACGCAAAACAGTTAAAGCTGCATCAAGATTTTCTAATTTCGAGACATTTTTATTCCAAGCCATAGCAAATTCCCAACATAAATTTGCAAGAAGCACGCTGCTTGTTAAACTATATGGAAAGTGATGTTTCAACAAAGACAATTTTTCTAGAAACAATAAAAATGTCACTTGAAGATTAAATTATAACATTAAATCTTACTGTTTGCAAATTATATCTTGCCTAGCACCCACGCTTGTGCTGTTGTATTTGTATTTGACTCTGTTTGATTTTCTACAGGTGAAGAAGATGATACTATTGCATCCTCTTGTAAATTAACAGCAGGTATTTTTTTTTCAGGTACTAGATTCTCCTCCAAATTCGATTGTTCAAATTCGATGTCAGTCAAATCTACCAATTGTGCAGGATGTACGCCTGTTGAACTTAACCATTTTGCAACAATTTCAGAAACAGAACCTAAAATCATACATGAAATTATATTACTCTATAATAATATACATTATATCAAAAAAGTTATAAAATTATAACCTTTTCCATTAGATAAAATCATTCCCAAAGAAATATTTTGTAATTCAAAAGGTAATTTGAAAAAGTCATTTGGAGGATCTCTCAAAGGTCGTTGTCTAAAATATTTAATCATAGTAATAAATACTTTCATATAATACTTTTATCTTATATTTATACTTTAAATATATATATAATTTTTGTGTCATTTTTACCTTACAACTGTATTTAAAACCATAACATCTTCAAGGTTTCCTATTAGTAAAGTGAATTGACATGTATCCTTACTTATATTTTCCCATTCATTTATAGAACTATATATTTCTTCATGTGCTATAAGATTAGATTTTTCACTATTTTTGTCCACTTTTGCTTGTGGATCATTATTATCAGCATCATTCTTGTTGCTATCACAAGTTTCTTCTGTAGTATTATATGTTTTGTCTTTATATTTTTCTAATGTTACAGCAACTGCTCTACATGCTAATGCTGCTGTATATGCATGTAAAGGATTTAAAGATTCAGTTAAAACAGTACGTACATCTTTCCACCATAAAGAACTCTCATTATAATCTACACATATTTCTTCTATATCTATAGAAATAAAAAAAAACATTTATAAATAAATTTATTTATTATTTTTTTTCATTGAATATCTTTTAATACTTACTATTTAAAGAACATATAGCATGCAATAATTGTGTGAATCGTGTCAATGTTAATTCTAAGTTTCTATCATCCTCTTTGTACATCCAATAAATTAATGCAAGCTGCATAAAAACATTTGGTTGAATATTACTATTTGCAGCTACAGTTTTCCATGTCTCAATAGTTTCATGGAAAATCATACATTTTTCAAAAATCAGTACAGCTGAAACATACACAGTTATTTACGATGAAACATGAAACAAAATAATTTGTTTGAATAGCAATAGAAAATAAATTAATATCTCAATTCAATACTTACCAATTTGGTATTTTTTTTCTAATTTAATATCTTTTTGTAAAACTAGCAAATCTGATACACCAAAATCAAAACATGTTAAAAAATTAAAAAACTGTCTTTCATTATCATTAAATTTTACTTTACTTTCCGATCTAATATTGTCATTTCCTATATCATTTATTGTTTTATATAACGTTAATATTCTATCAACTTCGTGTTCAGAAATTAATAATGTTAAAGCTAGTATTTCAGTATTTGATTTTTCATTATCAGAAGAATCAACTGATTTCACTGTATTTTCTAAATTAGAACTATTAATGAATATATAAAATGCTATTATTTTTTGTAATTGTACAATTAATTTATGTACAACTTTTGCTGCTGAATCCATGATATTTGAATCTATAAAAGATAAATTTTTATAATTATAAATTAAATTGTTTTCTATATTTTAGATATATATAATTTTAGTAATAATACGTTCTTCATTAAATGCTTTTACCATACCAGATTCATCGAACATTTTATCAATACAATTAGCAGCAGCTAGTAATGCATCAGGTAAGATATCCTTAGTATTCATTAATAATTCCAATGTTTGCAATCTAACTTCATTTGTTTTCATAGCTAAGCATACATTACGAACTTCTGTAATTAATTTTTCCTTATCAAAATCTTCCTCTCTTAGAAAATTTTTCAATTTACGAAGAAGATATATGTCACATGCTTTTTTAGCATTTTTACTACTCAGAGCAAAGTGAAACGGAACAATTATTTCTTTTAATCCTCCAAGAGGATCCATAAATACACAAGCATGTTGTGGATCATTTTTAGTTAAGTTTGCAGTTTCATTTATACCTAGCAGGCCATAATTAATATACAGCAGTCTAGAATCATTATTATAAATATGATTATATATTGGTATGAATAATTTGAAAAACAATAATCAATGTAAAAAGTGAACTTAGTTAAGACATACCGTCCATTTTTACTGGCAGTAAAGGTTGTAATTTTAGGACCCTGTTGAATTCCCCATATATCTATTACACCCTTCTTTGGAGCATAAATAACTAAAAACAATGTATTGCGAATGTTTGATGTGCGTACATTTCTATTAGAACTCTTATGTATTCCAGAGTGTTTGATTTCTTCAACTTCAATCCATCCACATTGTGCATCACGATATCCTTTCCACATTCTTACTGCAACACCTCTTTTATTATCTACTAGTGTTACTCTACCCATTGCATCTGTTACAGCTGATAACATCTTATTTGGACTACAAACAATCGAGTCACCCTCTCTCATCAGGTCACTTATGCTATACCTGCAGCTCAATGTTTCAGTAGATTCTTGACCATTATTTTTAGAAATGTCAAGTGATGCAGAAGTTTTTGAATTGCTTCTAAACCAACTATTCACAGAATATATATTACTTTTTTTATAATTTATATATACAATATTATATAATTAACAAGTACTTACGGAACAGCTGTTCCAATAGCATTCACTAATTTACTGGCCATTGCAGCAGCAACATCGGATAAAACTGGAGCATTACCTCCTTCTAATGCATAATGAAAACCAATAAACGGTCTTTTACCAGTAGCCATAACCAGATTGTGTTGTGGAGCACTAGATCTATATAATGCATTGTAACCACCACATAAGGAAGCAGTCATTAAATGATTAAAACTGTTTACAGATGTTGTACCAATAATTTCAGCATCATTTGTGATATCTTGATTTCTAAATTCCCATTTCTTGTACGACAAGGTAGTAGCTGGAGATACATCGTTACATTTAGCTTGTACTGCAATTGAAATAATATTAATAGAGGAAATGTAAAAAAATATAATATACACAATGCAATAATATATATATACCTCTAGCTAAATGATTTCTGCATGCACGTAAAGTTGTGAATAATGGAAATCCTTGCAGTATACATATAATACTTCTATAAATTATATACAATTCTTCTAATGGTTGTTTATTCATTGAGTGTCTATGAAAGGAAGATGACTGGCATTTTATTCCAAGAATCGGTTCGTTATGAAGTTGCTGTTCTAATAATAATGCACCTGTCTTGGGTAATAAAAAATACATTTTAATTAAATCATTTTAATAAGGGGGGACATTATTAACTTACTTCCGTATAAAATCTTAAAATGCCATTATTGAATCCTACAGCTATGCATGTCCAATCAGGACTAGTACCTGCACTAATTTTACCCAGTGAAATCAGAGGTAAACATATTATCGAAGTAATCCATTCGCTATAAAAATGATTTAATAAATGGTTTAATTATCTTTATAAATAAATAAAATATATGATCTCTTCTTTTTCATATTAAATACTTACTTTTGATTTTCTGTAATTATTCCATTCCATACGATATGAAATTTATTTTTTGATTCACTTGGTTCCTGCGAATCCCATTTTGCTAAAAGAATATAATTCATCGATTGAATACATATTTTATTGATTATTTTATATTCCATCATTATTATACTTACAAATCAGTATGATCATTTTAGTATTTTGTGCAAGTGCAAGAACATCACCGGCAGATGAAAGTGAGATGAAACAATCTTGTAAAGGTAATTCATGACTTGCAATAGGTTCAGCTAAAGGATATAAAATATTTATTGAATTTCAAATAGAAGTATTCTCTATTGTTTTTATTCTGATAAAAAAAAGGAATAATAAAATAACTCACATCTAGCAACAGCATCTCCAGAAAGTATTTCCTTTACTTTGTTCAAGTCTTTCAAATTGCCAATTGTTTTTATTTGACAGGACATTGGTATAAAATAGTATTTATACCTACTGTCACGATATGTTAGAAGTTAGATACTTTTGTATAAGGATAAAGACTATATGGAATGTACAAAAACACAATATTATAGATATACGTTGGGGTATGGTAAGGTAATGTATATAGAAAAGATTTCAATTATTTTCTTATGATACATAGGTGCGCTAAAATCGCTATCCTTTATTGCCAGTTTACAATTTTACACTTGGTATACCACCGAAAAGTTGGCATGGAATCTCAACAATAGAAAAAAATGAATAAGTACTCTTAATTGCACACTAATTGCATATTACAAATCTATAATTGCACAAATGGACAAACAAAAAGTCAACAATTGATTGAAAACAAAAAACAATAGAAAACTTTATTGCTGCTTAGAAATGAGAAAGAATGTTTTTGTATTTTCAATTATTAATAATAAATTAAATAATTAACTAATAAAGTATGCAATTATAGATTTTAAATATTCAATTAATGTACAATTATGAGTACTTATTCATTTTTTCTGCTGTTCAGGTTTTTTGCCAACTTTTTTGCGGTACTTTATACAATTGCGATGATACATTACTTTAAATATCTATTGTTGATAATACTTACCATTAATACATATGCATTCATGTTAATTGTACTGTAAAAAAATGGAACGAAGTACAAAATAAGTGAATATAATAAAATCTATGTTATGACGTTTTTCCAAAAAAGAATACGACAGACTTCATAATATTAACTTAAAAAGTAATTTGATCGTTTAACATATGCGTAATAAAGTCTATTTTGTAATATTTAATTAATAATTGTTTATAAACACATATTTTTAAACTACGGTAATTAATATGGTATATATTTAAATTGAATTATTATTAATTTCATAATTTGAACAAATTATCGATAACACAGTATTTCATGTGAGCATTTACAGAGGGCACTTGTGCTTCATTCTTCTTCTTAATTTTTTATTAGACGTCTTATCTATTACAAATGATTAGTTCATGGAACATAAGAAAAAAGAAACAATTGAAAACAGTATAGAAGCGTTTCCCGCCATTATATTATATGTTATAAGTTTTTTTGGACGTCTATTTATCGTTTTTTTCTTACGATTTTCTTCAGTTTTATTTTATATCCAAAGAATGTGATATTGTTTTTGTATACAATAATTGTTTATTGAAATTAAATATTGACAAAGTAATAATGAGCGAGGCACAAGGTAAATCATATATTATCTCTATGTATAGCATGTATATATCTTTTATTTATAGTATAGATTTATCTTAACAAAAAATAAATATAAATAAAATTATTTCTATTGAGACTAAAATTAATTAAAAACAATGGCAATGATTTAAATATTTGTTTTAATTATTTTATTTTTTGTAATTAGAATTCCCTTCTGGTAGAGCTAGAAGGCAAAAACCTGAAAAAAGTGCATGTGCCTTAGCATTACAAAAGTTGAAACAATTGAAAGGTAGTAAGAACAAATATGAGATTGATGAATTGGAAAATGTTTATGAGGAAGTCGATGAACAGGAATATTCTAAGACTGTTCGTAAACGGCAAAATGATGATTGGATTGTTGATGATGGTAATTAATCTTATAGTATATGATTCTAGTACGTAGAGAAAATTATGTTGTTATATTTCAACTCACAGGTGGAATTGGTTATATAGAAGATGGTAGAGAAGTCTTCGACGATGATTTAGATGACAGTAGTATTCAGAATGCGATGAAGTATAGTACTTCAGGACCTAGAAAGAAGAGAAAAATTGTTACTAAAAGCAAAAGGAGTATTCAAGATATGATTATGCAAATGCCCTCTAATTCGAAAAGTAAAAATACTTTTGATGATGATATTTTAGGAGATTTAATGAGCGAACTTAAAAAAGAAGATACCAAAAAAGTACCTGTTATAAAAAATAGTAAAAATAAATTATGTAAAACATATTTTTTAAATAATAAGTGAGTAATTTATTTAATTTAATATAGAATATAGTAAAAATAAAAATAAAAATAAAAATAATTTATAAAAATTTAGTAAAATTTATCATAATATGCAATGTATATATTTGATGAGATTCTATATTGTAAATATATGAAATTTATTATATTTGATATTAGTAGCAATCAAGACATGGAGAAAAAGAAAAAAGTAACAACAGGTGACAACGATGTGCTTTCAATGATTGACATTATTACTATTAGTGATGATGAACCAATGTTTGATACATTAAATAAAAACGGTTCTACAAAAGAATTACCAGGTATCAAAACATCAAATAATGGTGCATGTGTTCAAAGTACAAGTCAAGAAATTACTAACGATGTCAGCGATGAGTCTCAGACTGTAAGCATAGAAAAATATAGTAATATGAATGAAGTATCGGGTACTCAAATAATTGAAGATGGAAGTATAGACATCAGTGCATATATCGGAGATGTGAGTTTTTATTTTATTAAATATTTTGTATAAACAAATGCATAAAAATACTTATCTCATTATTTCTGATATAGTTGTCTGAAATAGATTTTGAGAATTCAAGTTTAAACGAAAATGAACATTTGAAAGAATCAGTGCCAACGACTTCGAGAGCTGAGAATCATTCTAAGATTAAATCTCCAACACTCTGCAAAGATTCTGATATATTGGAGGAAAATCAGGAAATTTTTAATGAAATATGGAACGATGATTTTGGAATACAAACAACAAATGTTGAAGTTTCTGCAGAGAATTCAGATGTGTCTATACCATTTATTAAAAATTCTGCTGGAGAAGAAATATTTCGTTTTTATTGGTGGGATGCATATGAAGATTTTTTTAAGCAGCCAGGCACCGTATTCTTATTTGGAAAAGTTTATATTCCATCTACCAAAACGTACTGTTCTTGCTGTCTTACAGTAAAAAATATTCCAAGAAGGATTTATCTTTTACCTCGAGAATATGTAAGTAAACGTTTTCTTACATATCTTTAGAAATAGTAAAATCAAGATATTTTTAATAATAGATCACAATTATTAAAGAATAATTTTCTAAATTTTAGATAAAAAATTCTTCCGATTCTGAACAAAAACGAACTAGCATGCATGATGTGTATCAGGAGTTCAATGAATTTGCTAACAAAGTAGGAATTAAAGAATTCAAATCTAGTCAAGTTTCAAAGTATTATGCTTTTGAGCAAGAAGATGTACCGAAATTTTCAGACTACTTAGAAGTTAGATATTCTACATATTATCCACTTATTGATTCAGCGTATTCGGGGCCTGCTATAGAAAAAGTTTTTGGAACAACAGTTAAAAGTTTAGAGCTTCTACTTATAGAAAGAAATATCAAAGGTCCTTGCTGGTTGGATGTCAAATGTGTAATTCCTACAGGAGTAAAATCTAGTTGGTGTAAATTGAATGTATGTTTCAGTACAAGTTATTAATTCGTCAAAGACATTTTTAATTCATTTAATATTATAAGTATTTATATATAATTAATAGGTTACGTGCATGAAAATGGAAAATATTTCAGTTAGTTCAGAATCTCAAAACTTATCAATACCTCCAATGACAATAGCAACATTAAACGTTCGTGTATCCTCACATTCCAAATCGCAACAAAATGAAGTAGTAATGGTTGGAATTCTTCTTCGTCGTAAATATAATATTGACAAGGAACGGCCAAAACCACCAAATTTATTTGAACAAAGTTTTTGTGGTAAGTTTCCGTACTTAATATGTTATTTAAGTATATTTAAAGAATGAATGTATTTTTTTTTTAATTTGTTTAAATAGTTATAACTAAACCACGAGATCTTTTATGGCCAAGACAAGCACAAGAAACACTATCAAAAATAAAATATACTACAATAATAAAATGTGATAATGAACATGATCTACTCGAAGAAGTACTTAAAATAATAGAAAATGTAAATCCAGATTTATGTATTGGTTATGATTGTGGATTTCAATTTGATGTTTTGTTACATAGAATTTTTAATCTTCGAGTATTAAACTGGAGTAGAATTGGAAAATTAAGACGTAGTACACATCCTATTATTAAAGTGAGTGTGATTACTATTTGCATTAAAAAAGGCAATTATAAAACATAAGCTTATGAAATCAATTTTCTTTTTAAGGGAAAAATCAATATAGGTCAAGCATTTGCTGGCCGTTCTGTTTGTGACATACAAAGTTCAGCCAAAGAATTAAATTTAAAAGTTAGGAGTTATGATTTGGAATCTCTTTGTATAGCAGTAAGTGATTTATATATTGTTAGATTATTTATTAGATTAATACTATTTAATTAAGTGAACAACCGTACATTATATGGTTTTAGGTATTAAAACAAAATGAAAATGAATACAAAGAATTAAAACCTGGAGAATGTCCTTTGTTTTATGAATCGATAGAAAAAATGGAAAATCTCATAAAACGTACATTAATGGAAGCATCGTATATTTTGTCTATAACATTTGAACTTGATATATTACCACTTGCATTGCAAATTACGTCTATAGCTGGTATATATAAACGTTGATTTTTTAATATCAATTATAAGGTATATTTATTTATTTATTTATATTTTATGATTTGTACAGGTAATACTTTATCAAGAACACTATCAGCTGGCCGTTCTGAAAGAAATGAATACCTTTTATTACATGCTTTTTATTTAAAAAATTACATAACACCAGATAAATTGCAAGGAAAAATAAATAAAAATACCGAGGGTGGTAAGTTATGTGATAATATAAAGCTAATAAATAAATGGAGCATGCAACATGTATGTATGCACATGCTTTAATATATTTCTTTATACGTAGATAATCCTAGAAGGAAAAAAGCAGCTTATGCGGGTGGTTTAGTCTTAACTGCACAAAAAGGGTTTTATGATACGTTGATTTTATTAATGGATTTTAACTCTTTATACCCCAGTATAATACAAGAGTACAATTTATGTTTTACCACGGTACCAGGTGCAGCATATGCTAATTATGAGGTAAATATAGGTTTTTAAATTTATATATTTTAATATGCATATGTATATATAATTATTTATGTAATATAAATTATGTGTGTATGTGTAGGATTTAGAAATACCAGATTCGAGTTTAGAACCAGGTATCGTTCCTACAGAAATACGTAAACTCGTGGAAAGTAGAGTTGAAATAAAAAAATTAATGAACAAGCCTAATATTTCTTCCGAGTTAAAAATGCAATATAATATACGACAAATGGCTTTGAAACTCACTGCGAATTCAATGTATGGATGTTTAGGTGCAGCCCATTGTAGATTTTATGCTAAGGGATTAGCTGCTCTAATAACATGTAAGTTTCATAAAAATAAAAGCAAGATATTATTATCACTATTAAATGCATACAAGATAATTATTTGTTTGTAGCAAAGGGTAGAGAAATATTGCAAGATACAAAACGTATGGTGGAAAAATTAAATTATGATGTTATTTATGGCGATACTGATTCTATAATGATAAAAACTAATATTCTTGATTATGATGAAGTTTTTTCTATTGGAAAAAAGGTATAATATCGACTAGTTTGATATTTTTGTAATGTGTATTTTATAGTTTTTATTTAATTGTATATATTTATCTAACAGATAAAACAAGAGGTTAACAAGTTATATAAAAAAGTAGAATTAGATATTGATGGTGTATTTCGTTATTTATTACTTCTACAAAAGAAAAAATATGCTGCTGTTACTATGGTTAAATTACCAAATGGACAGATTAAACTAAACCAAGAACATAAAGGTTTGGATATTGTTAGAAGAGATTGGTGTCAGTTAGCCTGTGAAACTGGAAAGTATGTATATTATATGGATATTTTCATTTGTTGTTCAGTAATTTACATAATTAATGTGGATATAAATTTGTAGGAAAATTTTGAATCAACTATTTTCCGAACAAACCAACGACACACGAATAGAAGAAATTTTCACTATTTTACAAAACGTTTCACAAAAAGTTAGAGAAAATAAAGTGCCTTTATCTTCATTAATTGTTACTAAACAACTTTCCAAAAATCCCCATGAATATCCTGATAGAAAACAGCCTCATGTTTTGGTTGCATTGAGATTAAACAAGGATGGTGGAAGGATGTGGAAAGTTGGTGACACTATATCTTATATTATATGCGAGGTATTTATTCACATTTATTTGTTTACTTAGTAAGTAGTTATAAGTCTAGGTTTAATGTTATATTATTTTATTTTAGGATGGAACAGATAAGTCGGCTACGGAAAGAGCTTATCATATTGATGAATTTAAAAAAAAGGATAATTTAAAAATTGATATTAATTATTATTTGATGAATCAAATACTTCCAATTGTATTAAGAATTTGTGAACCAATAGAAGGAATAGATGATGTATTATTAGCCAGGAATTTAGGTACATATAATATGAAGAAATATTTTCTAGATTAAAATGTAAAACTGTTTTAATGTGCTGTTCAAAATGTTGTCCACCTATACATTCTAAGATAGTAAGCATCATAGGCAGAACTGCTAAACATCATCTTTAAACATCACATTAAACAGTTTTGCAAATTATGTTATAACTCTTGAATAATGCTTTAAATGATTTATCTTTTTATAACATTTTGTTCTCTTATTTTTGAACGTAAAATGTGCTCACAATTTTTGTACAAAAAACTTTAGACATTCTGTATACAGATTTAATTAATTTTTTATTTTATTATAAATAGGTTTAGAAAACGTTTATAAGTCGAAAGCAACAGTCAGCGAAGACAACCATAAAGCACTCATTTCAATAAATGATGAAAAGTTTAAGTACTGCTTACCTTTTAAGTTTAATTGCATAAATGAAAAATGTGGAGCTGAAATCACAATTAATGGTGTTATATCTGCATTTGTGAGTAAAGAAAAATAATTTACTTACTAAAAAATTAAGTTTTAGTATAATTATTAAACTATACGTTTACAGCCTGAAGGTGATCGTCTATCATTAAGCAAGTGTTCTAATCTAGAATGTACAATGCCTCCATGGAAATATATCAAAGTCATACAAAACATTTTACAACTTGCTTTGAGATCTTTTATAGATACTTATTATGAATGTTGGATAGAGTGTGAAAATCCTCTTTGTTCATACAGAACTAGAAAAATGCCATTATCTTTTCAGGGAAAGTATCCTAAATGTACTAAATGCCCAAATGCTTTTATGCATAAAGTTGTAAGTACCAACATTTATTTTTGTTTAATATTGAATTTAAGAGAATGATATAAATACTAAAAATCAATTATTTGGTTTAGTACTCGGATATTCAACTGTATAATCAACTTTTTTACTATCATCATATTTTTGAAATAAATCAACCTCAATACAAGTGTAAGTATTATTTACAATTCATTTAATTTCTCTAACTGCGAATGTGTGTATTTAATTAATGTTTTTTTAATTCTTAGCTATACTAAGCAGTTATTCGCGGGAAATAATATCAGCATATGACACTTTAAGGGAGACTGTTGACAAATTCTTATATTCTAGCGCATATTCAAATATAAATTTAAATGCAATATTTTCAAGCAAGGAATCAGACAATCGTAAATTATCCGATAAATATTTTGTACAAGATAAAGGCCTTTTCGAAGAAACATATAATTTTACTTGTTCAATGATGGATGAATTAGATGATGAGAGTGATATATTGAATTTAAGTAACAAAACACTTTCAACGAACACGGGCACTTAAAACAAATGTAATTGATGCATTTTTTATTATTTTCTTCTTCTTCGTCTGTTTGTTAGGACTATGTCCTGTTATTATTTTTTTTATTATATATTAATATATTATATTTTGTATATTTCGATAATATATCTTTTATAATAAAATATTAGCGTTAAAAACAATTTTCTATGGTATAAATACTTATTTATTAGGAAAAAAAATTATACCAGTTTATACCCATCTCCATCCATAATATATCATCTACATCCATAAATATTTATTTACAGTAACTACAAGATCTGTAGTAGATCTTACCTCTGCAGTAGCTGCAAATCTCGATACATTCGTAATACGATGTATTTAAAATTTTTACGTGAAAATTTAAAAATATTCTAGTTTCAAATACGCGCGTCTAATACGAACTTAGTTCGCATATGTCCACCGATAGATGGAGACAAAGTAGTATTCGACGGCTAATTCTAAAGTCCACCGATAGATGGAGAYACAGTAGTAGTCGACGGCTAGTTCTTAAGTCCATCGCTAGATGGAGCCACAGTTCTCAATTAACAGCTGTAAGCAGTTCGTACGTCCCCCAACAGATGGAGGCACAGTAGTATTGAACAGTTAGTTTCTAAGTCCACCTATAGATGGAGACACAGTAGTATTGAAAAGTTAGTTTCTGAGTCTACCAGTAGATGGAGACACAGTAGTATTCTACAGCTAGTTCCTAAGTCCACCAACAGATGGAGGCACAGTAGTATTCGACGGCTAGTTCTTAAGTCCACCGATAGATGGAGACACAGTAGTATTCGACGGCTAGTTCTTAAGTCCTACAACAGATGGAGACACAGTAGTATTCGACGGCTAGTTGTTAAGACCTCCAATAGATGGAAGCACAGTAGTAGTCGACGGCTAGTTCTTAAG